CGCAGAGAGATACGAGAGACGCATGGCTGGTCCTTCTGCGGTGCGCTCCTACGAGTCCAATCACCCGGAGCAGCCTGCCGGACAGCCCTGCTCGGACAGCCCTTGGCTCCGGACGCCTGCCCGGACAGCCTGCCCGGACGCCCTAGCCGCGGACAGCCCTGCCCGGACAGCCGCCTGCCCGGACAGCCTGCCCGGAAAGCCCTGCCGGACAATGCCCTGCCCGGACAGCCCTGCCCGGCAGCCCTGCCGCTGGACAGCCCTGCCCGGACAAGCCCTTCTGCCGGACAAGCCCTGCCCAGGCAGCCACTGCCGCCGACAGCCCTGCCCCGCAGGCCCTGCCCCGGTGTGGGAACAGCCCCCCGGCCCCGACGCCCTGCCCCCGACAGCCCTGCCCGCAGCGCCTGGCCCGACAGCCCTGCCGCCGACAGCCCTGCCCCGACAGCCCTGCCCCGACAGCCCTGCCCCGACCAGGCCCTGCTCCCGAACAACACCTGCCCCGACAGCCCCTGCCCCACAGCCCTGGCCCCGACAGCCCTGCCCGAAGCCCTTGCCCCGACAGCCTGCCCGACAGCCCTGCCCGTCAGCCCTGCCCGGACAGCCCTGGCCCGACAGCCCTGCCCGGCGCTCCCTGCCCCGAAGCCCTGCCCGGACAGCCCTGCCGGAACAGCCCTGGCCCGGTGACAGCCCTGCCGACAAGCCCTGCCCGGACAGCCCTGCCCGGACCAGCCCTGCACCGACAGACCCCTGCTCGGACAAGCCGCTGCCCGACAGCCCTGCCCTGAACAGCCCTGCCCCGACAGCCCTGCCCCACAGCCCTGCCCCGACAGCCGCTGCCCCGACAGCCCTGCCGACAGCCCTGCCCGACAGCCATGCCCTGACAGCCCTCCCGGAACAGGCCTCTGCCCCTGACAGCCTGCCCCGACAGCGCCTGCCCTGACAGCTGCCCCGACAGCCTCTTGGCCGCGACAGCCCTGCCCCCGACAGCCCTGCCCCGACAGCCCTGGCCTCCGGACAGCACCTGCCCCGACAGCCCTGCCCCGACAAGCCTGCCCCGACAGCCCTGCCGACAGCCCCGCAGTTATATAATCACACATTATGTTAACATAGGAAGTTCTGAATGAAAATAAGAGTATATTACGTCTGTTTCTTACTTCGTAGTCAATATAGATTTACTTTTGCACATAAAGTCGTATGTTATTGAAATAATGTTAATGAAGATTAAGATAATGAGTTATTCGATTTCATAAAATTACACTTACTTTTACAACGCACTGAACGGATTTCGTGAATATGTCTAACAATTTTTTTACCTCAATGTCTTCTAGTGTGCAAATTTACTATGCCTTTATTATGCTTGCATTTTGTCCTTTCCCATCATCATTTCCAGA